ACTTGGAATCATGGACTCTAACGCCTTCATTATCTTTCTTGTTAGGACATTTAATCTTTATAAGATGGGGAAGCAATATATCGAAAATGAGATTATTCGATGAAATTAAAACTGATTATTTGATCAAAACTAAAACAACAGAACACCTTTATTGAGCGTTTTGTATTCCGCACGATGGGTTCGAAATATTTCATAAAACATTAGAAATTTTTTTCAAATACATTCCTTCATTTTGTACACTATCAGAAATAACCACAACTAAAAAATAAATCAAAAAATCTTATTCTGCACTCGGATATTTGGGTCACTTTTAAGGCGGCAATCAAATTCTGAATCAAACAGTGCCATCTTAATTAGATTACAATCACTGAGCTGAATTCTTAAGCCACAACTTCTAGACATTAATTTCAAAGCAAAAACATCTGTTAGCGATTGAAATTATTGACATAACAATATGAATTTTTAGCTGGAATAACAAATTCACTGATATAATTGTTTGTGATGTAAACGAATTCGGACTACCGCCGCTATGTAGTGAATTCTCCTTCTTTCATTGTTTCAACGCCACTTAAGTAGTCATCTGCTCCAATCTGTTAAAGAGTCTGTCGAAAAATGAAAACGCTCGCACTTAAACAACATTGCTATCGCATCTGATGATGAGTGCAACCGAATTTTTCACATATTTTTTCGGAGCCTAAACCTGGTCACCCTCTCATCAAGATGAATTTTTTGATGGTATCGCGGAAGCACTACTCAAAAAGTCACTTGATTATTTGATTCAACTATGCTTTTGTGTGTTTATCCTTCGGTGATGACTGAGATGAATCTTCAGATTCGAACACTTCAGTGTTTTGTGCGGATTGCGGTCGTTGCTGTTTCAGAATGCGCATAGCCAACATTTCACGTTTAATATTAGTCTCAAGCTGTTTCATTCGTTCGTCGGCATCTAAATATCGCTCGTCTGCTTGCGGTTTCTCGGCCTCTATCAACTGATACTCGTCGCCTGTTCCGTGCGGGCATTTATGATAGGTCATCTAAAATTACTCACGATGAGTTTAGTGGTAAACAAACGCTACATTCAAGTTTTGCTGAGATCATTCAAGAGGAATAATTGATTTCCTCTCAAATTACTGACAATTACCATCGAAAATACTGCGCATTAAAGAATTGGCAAAGGAATGGTGATTTGAATGCTCTTAGTGAAATTGTGACCTTCTGGGTTCAGAAGGAGTCGTTCTGATTGCTGATTAAATGGAATTTCGAGTGAAGATAGATCGAATGAAGAAGCTGTTATGAAAAACTCGGAAAAAGAGGCAAAATATCAAGGGATTTGAATGATTGGGAAAAGAGTTTGAGGGAAAAATTGGGAAATTGATTGGGAAAATTGGGATTGGGAAAAATTGATTGATATAGAATATGATTGTTATGAAATTTAGAGTGAGAACAAAATATTTACTTTAACATTAATGAATCCGGACAGTTCTAAGACCGATAAATAGCGCATTGGATTATACAATCGTTCGCTTATTAGATGCCATTCTTCAAGTTTTCTTAGTCTGAAATAAGTCTTCGTGAGCACATTTTCTGTTTCATCGTGTCATTGATGAGGTGATCTCTAATCTTGATTCTTGAAATGTTCATTTAGTTGTAATAAATTGTTGCCATTATCAGCAGTGTGGACGTAGTAACCTGCTCAGTTGTAGAGCACATACAATGCGACCGCCTGGCTTCAGAACACGGCATAAATCCCAACAAATATCACGCATTTGATTACCCCAAAAATAATAGGTGTCCACATGGAAAATGCCTGAGAAGAAATCCGATGGGTATGGCAAATTACTGAGATGTATTGCCTGAAATTCTGCGATTGCACTCATTTGAAGGAGTAAGCTTATGTTGAGACTAAGTCAGTTGAATGGTTGTTAATAAGGTATTACACCTGGTCAGTGAATAGACAAAACTGTTTCACGGATTTTGAGCACAACATCTAAAAGACTTATATATCGAACATGATTAAAAAGTATTATGCCATGTTTTCATCAAAGGTATTCTGCGATTGGTTTTGGGTGATGAGAATGCGCTAGTTCAGACTGTAATAATGACGGCGTCTAATTGCTGGGTAAAAGTATCTTTGAGGAGAGGAAGGAATGAGCCAGATGTTTTTACTGAATGTTTTTACTCGATCAAGTCGTATCTTTCCCTCTTCGACGATTTCGACATAAAATCGGTTTCGTACAACTTCTTCCATATACCGTGATCGATCTGTACAAAATATCATCCCGTCACCACTTTTAATCTTCTCATATGCGTAGCCAATACCTTTTAAAATATAATAGTTCAGGCNCTTTTAGGTTCAACATTGAAATGTTGGGTAATATATTTGGATGAAATCATAAGACGATTCTCTTTGATCCCTTAGGGATATTTTTTCATAACTGCTGATACACTTGCAAACAACTGTTCAAGAATGCGATTAATATCTCTATTCGAGCGTTTAATCTCTACAAATGATTTAAGAATTTGATTTTTACTGAGCGCACTGAATTGTAACCTGGTTCGACAAATTACATTACTACCCAAAATTTTCACTAATTCATTCTGCCAACATCTCTCTAAAACTTTTGAGAAATTTCACTGAATTAGAAGAGAAATATCTTTTCTCCTACACCACTGAAAAACTCCAACTAACCATCGCCTCGGCCGTATCCAATTTCTAGAATATTATCACTAGCAGCAATCTTCAACGCCTCAACGGCTGCATATTCCAGATGTCGCGTTTGACGAGCATTCAGTCTCGTCAATATAGATCCAGTTATGCCTTTCACTGGTACCGCATACTTCAATTGGTATTATCATGATTTTCCATTGTTATGATGTCCACCGTTGATTGTTAAAGTCATAATTTTCAGATTCATTATTACTCTTATCGGATAGACGGAAATTTCCTCGTTGAGCAATTCTACCGTAGAGAAATTTGAAGTAATAACAAAATATTTACTTTAACATCAGTGAATCCAGCAGGTTTCCAAGCCCGATAAATAGCCTATTCGATTACAGAATCGCTCGCTTATTAGACATCATTCTTCAAGTTTATTGCCTCATTTAGGCATGCTCAAATTAAACTACACCTCCGATCCATTCATTGAGATTACAATTAAAGGTGAAACAATCAGAGCGAGCACGTGAAAGGGATTGAAACTTGCTTACTTTACACCATTGCTATTAGTATAGATACTACCAATATATTCTGAAGAGATTTGACAAGAGATTTGAACCGAGAGATTGTCGAGTGATTTTGCCTCTTCGAGGAAATATAGCTATTTTACTGATGCCATAGGGATTGGCACATTCAAACCCACCGTACTCTCAGCTTTGACCAGTAGCATATCTATTTCTTCACACTACTCGATCGAGCAGATTCTCCGCATTCAGAAAAATATATATCTTGTCGATCGATTTTGCTTATTCATTCGTGCAAAACGTCAGTGTTAAAAACACACATATGAAGGTGTCATTAGATGATTTCATTGCTGTTCTGATGTGTCAGGTTTGGTGGTTTATCAGTAATGCGAAAATCCATTGCTAGCTCCTGGAAATTGATCGTACAGAACGCACGATCAAGTGAACAAAGCAGCAAATTCTTGCTAGCGATAAAAGGTCATGATCTATCCCATGTTCGTTGAATATTTTCAGGCAGTTCTTCCAACCTGCAGTGTTATTTCGATCTGAATGAGCGACTCTCATTAAAAACTTTCGTTTATTGGGAAAGATAATTTATTCGTAGAATTACCAATTTTCGTTTGCAATATCCATTGCGAACATTTCATTGTGGAAATGCACTAAATTTTTTCGGTCTTTCCGCCTTAAATGTTTTTCATAGTGGTTTATAAAGATGTTTCTGAAAACAGTCTGAAGTTTGGCGGAACTATTGTTTGAAGGATTTCCAGGATTATTCCAATCGTTCATAAACGGGATATTGGTGGCCGATGGAAGTTGACTTTTGTTAAAAACGATCACTTGAGCATATTCATTCGTGTAAAATGTCTCCAAATAATCCGTATAACGTGTAACGTGGATATCCTATTAGAGACGATTGCTGTAAAATGAAATGTGACGTCGTTATTAACCGTTGGGTTCCTTGCGAAGCAATTTTGAAATGTGACATCCAGCCAAACACTTTGAAGACACCTTCATAAACTGCCTTTCTTTCATGTTTCTTTCTTTTTAATTCTTTCATTCCACAACTGAGAACACATTTACTTTCTAAGTGGAGGCAAATAGTTGTAGTGCAGTAATAATGATCGTATTACCTATCACTCACCGCAGTATCCTATCAAAAACCATTGAAAGTATATTATGTTCATTAACCAGAAACCATAAGCCGAAAAAAAAACATTGAAAGTATATAATGTTTATTAACATGCTATCGAGTATCAGTAATCGTGTGGAAATTAATGATGAAGTATTAACTTTAACATTAAATCTCACTGAATAATTATGCATTCTAGAATCTTACTGGTACTTTCAAGTGTTTGCAATTTCATCAGATAATTGGTTCGGTGATGCATCTGTTCGAGTGATCTGTCTAATTGTTCGCAAGTTATTCACTGAGATGGAGCAAATAAATTTAAGAGTGGATGGATGATTGAATGAACGAGTGAAAAGCACATAACCTGTTGACTTTCGAAAGAATTTTAATCGGAAATGACGTCCGTCGTGTCGCGCTTGTCCAATCTTGTTTCAGTCATTGACTCAATTGTTTGTAGATACATATATGTAATTATGAATTCAAACGTTCAATAAAAAGATGATACTACAATGCATCGATTGATCATAAATGTGATATAAACATTTTGATATCAAGGAATCATCAATCTATTTTCAATTCATTGTTAATACGCAATTGTGAATATAATATCATCGGAAATACTGTTGACACATCGCTCAACACCAAATATCACCATCATCTTCTTCTAATTCATTCCCTTTTTTCTAACTTCTTATTTCATCGCTCCTATCTCTTCATTCTTTTCATATTTTCACTCTATTATTCTCTTTCCTTCCCCTTCACCAACTTCATTCATTAATCATAGCAGCAATATCAATGATGATAATGAAAATGATTATGTAGTAATAATCATTATCACTGATCCAAGGATCATGGTAGGAAGAATGAGAATATGTTTATAATGCGAGCAATTCATTAGGACCATCAAAATTATTTTGTTTTCATTAGCACTTCCACATTATCAACATTAATGAATTTTATGGAGATGTTATGGTGAGTGCCCCTCAGATAATTGCATTCAAAATTTCATAAATAGCAGCACTTATTAAAGTGTTAGTGAAGGTGCTGTGATGTTTTAAAGAATTTTCAAACAATAAGAAATCAAAAATTGTTCAAACGTGGCATGTTTTTTGTTCATTCTTCCAAAGACAATAACTTCCTCTACAAATAAATAGATAAGTGCCTCCCAATTTCCTGTTCTTGATTGCTCTTCCGTCCACTATGATCATATTTATCACAAACAACCCCTCAAAACACCCACTCATTCGACACTCTTGCCTTTTTTGTTGTTCAAACCCCTTCTTTATCTGGTTCATTGTTACAACTTCGACTGTAGTTTATGCTTTCGCTCCGTTTATTATGCGATTCTTTCATTTCATCGTCATCAACATCCTCTTCATTCAACTTGAACTCTTCATACGCCTCCTACAGCAAACAAGCACTTTTTATGTTACGTATTTGAGTAATTTTGACGGTATTTATGATGAGGTAGACGTGAGCCGATCGAGTGATCAACCTGAATTTTCGTGTGCGTTTCATTATCATTTTGGTTTTCTCGCATTCTCCGTTGCCAGCTTCACTTTGATCATGGATAGTCGTTCGGTTGATCATATCACTTGTCAGTGACACCCACAAATCAAATTACGGATGTTGCTTTGCTATTTTGAGTAATCAATTAATCGTTGCACTGGGAAAATGCAGTTTTGAAGTTGTCTTTAGTGGCATTAATCATCTTGTTTCCTGTTGTTATTTTCCACTGCTCCTATCACAAAACTCCAACGATCTAGTATATTTGATCATTCGATATGGTCTTTTTTTATGCGCCACGCATATATTTTACTGCTTTTACTACTGACTGATAATCACAGTAATCAACGTGATCAGAAAATCGCATGTTCTGCAATATGTTTGACTGCTGCTTGTTATATGGTCGGCAGTAACGCCTATCCACAACAATAGTCGAAAAATTTTTCAATTTTATCAATTTCATCAAATTCCAGCCTCGCTGTACATTTGCTGCGTGCTTGTAGCATAACCTTTCGATTCTATTATTTTCGTCCATGATTTCATTTTTGCACACTCAAAGTGCTTTTATATTTTTATGTGTTGCTGATTTTTTACAGAAGACACCTGCGATGAGACCGTTGAGTAGGAAGAGTGTAAAGGAATTTTAATTATGAACCATATGCATATTTTCAGTCCTTCAACTGATTGAACCGTGAAAATTACAACGAAGTTCAATCAAATGGTTGCACCACTGAGCATGCAAACACGTGGCCTCCTTGAACGGTAATAATGACGATATTTCTTATGATACTCTCGTTTGTTCCTTCAATTACGATTGAAAGAACTGGGGTATAAAATTGCCAAGTTTCAAATGAAGTGAATATAAATAGTGCCTGTAGTAGTATTAATAATAGTAGTTGTAATGGTAGTGGTAGTAATAGTAGTACTAGTAGCAATAGTAGTAGTGGTAATAAGAGCGTTTTACAGGAGGGGTTCATCTGCTTCGCTGAAACTCGATTTGGTCACCGTAAATACGAGCATAGAAACGGCGCCGTCACCACTCCGCGAAAGGTTATTTGAAGCTCCTTGATGATTGCTGTTTCAAACCGGTTTTTCATCAACTTTTTGCTTCGTTACATTTGTGAATTTTTCCGATTGGCCGGAACTGAAGTAGAGTTTTTGAATAAAACTGTTGCGTCAATCAACCATTCTCGACTGCAGTACCACCAACATCAGCTGTAGAAATTCGCATCGTGAGGATCTCAATTTATAGCACATCGAGTGAGGATTTCAATTCGATTATGAAGCATACGCGCATGACACGACAGCAGTTACGACACATGAATATTCGCAAATCAACAGTTGATCTCTTTTCTGAATTCGCGGTTCGTCAATTAGCACAAGTTTGATCAGTTCGGAAGTCTTGCTGATGTGAACCTTCAGAAGAATAAGACAAAGATGATGAAGACAAATTGGCAGTGTTAACATTATCAAAGAAACGAATGCATAAATGTCTCAACCAATCACTCAATAAATAAATTATTTAGATTTTGGAGAACCCAACCGAGTTGTGTCGTGCCAAAATCAATGGTTGCGCTCTAAAAAATCGCCACCAAATATGGCCGATCAATAATACGCGTGTACGGATTTGGAATAATAATGACAGTAATGATGATCACTCAGTCATGTCATCCAGCAACAATTCGGATTGTTCAACTGATGACAACATGATATCAATCAAACCGGATGAAGATGAAACACGCAGCTACATCAATGCTAATTATATTACGGTATTTTGGCTTCGCTTATTCAACTGATCCTTTGAAACAATCCACTTTAATCTACCACTATTTTTTGTTGATCAAGGTTGATGTATTCAATGAAGAATCCTACGCACTTTCCTGAAAATCACAGCTTTCGTGATATTTTCAGGGTCCTGATTCAACACGTTTGTTTGTGGCTGCTGAAGGTCCAATGCCGCATACGATGAATGATTTTTGGGCAATGATCTGGCAAGAAAGATCAGCCGCTATTGTTATGATCACAAATCTAGAAGAAAGTGTACCACGCTATCAAGCAGTTGAGGTGATTGCTTGCTCGTATTTAATTGTTGAAATGAATCGAAGCATCCAAAAAAAACAACCGTTGAGAAAGGAGTCGGCTCTATGGATAGACATCGTTCTTGGAGCAAATCATTGCTGCTTCACGATGAGAGTAGCGATAGAGTAGAGGGAAAGCCTAGCAATTGCATTAGAATGAAAAACCAGAGATAATTCAGAATCGAAGGCACCGTTTGCATGATGACAATTCACATAGCTAGACAGTATGAATATCGCTTGCATTGCATTCAGTTATTTGATCGAGCGTCGATCATTTTAATGTATTCTCACGAAAAATTTTTAATGATAGTTGCCATTGGATAAATTAAGTTCTAGGACAAATGTTGACATTAATTTCGATTACATGAATGGCTTTGTGCGCAAGCAATAAATAGATGAATTTATTGTTGCTGTTGGTTATTGTTCTGGTTTTATTGGAATTTCATCTGTTATTTCATCTGATCCCTTCTGCCTTTCAGCGTAAATGTGAGAAATATTGGCCAGACATTGAAGCGCATTATGGTTCTCTTCATGTCACAATCACATCTTGTTCAACTCATGAAGGTATTGAAATTCGAGATATCTTATTGACGGTAAGCAACTCATTGGTTCACTTCAACAGTACTGCTTTTGGTGGCCTTTTGCGGTCCTATCAACCAGTACAGTAGTAATGACATGATGAATGTTTTATGCATCTATATAGTATAAGTGAGTTTCGCGAGGTTGTTCGCTCAAATACCTTAAGGATATGAAGAGAATAATTAGTTTAAAAAAGTAAGTGTTGCTTGTATGCAAACTGATCACAAATGAATTGTCAATTGAAGATATGCGTTCGTTCACTGTTTCGTTCGTTCGATTTCTTCATGTTTTTATGATCCGATTCCTTGTTAGATATGACGTAAGACCTCACAGCAGCTCGTAGAACAAACTGCATTGAGTTATTGTAAATAATATAATGTGATGAGGTTGCCATTTCAGCACGGTAATGAGGAACATTGCCTGCGGCATTTTTGGTTTAAAAAGTGGCTCGACCATCAAGTTCCCCTTGGACACACCACTAAATTACTCAAGTTAATAGCTGCCGTTGAAAAATGCCGTAAAGAACAAAGAGTACTGCATGGTCGAATTGCTGGCCCTGTTGTGGTACATTGCAGGTTTGTTTTGCAGGCACATTCGTTCACATCATTTTCATATGTCGTATCATTTCGCATGCCATTGTTTGAATCTCATCTGTTGTCTAGTAGAAGAATTTCTGAAGTGATTCGCAAGAATAATTCATTTATTCAACCAAAAATGATCACATCGAACATCAATCTGTCGAAATTGCAGTGCTGGAGTGGGTCGTACGTGTACGTTTATTGCAATTGCACTTGGCGTTGATCAGTTATTCAAATCTTATGACGGTGGCTGCATTGATATTGCATCAATTGTTTCAAAACTTCGCACGCAGAGGTGCTTTCTCTTTCTTTTTTTCAGGTCTTTCTCTTACCGTTCCAATTTCACAATCGCTAATTAATGGTTGACTGTGAGTGAAGGGTGCAGTGATATTATGCGTAAAATTTTGCATACATGCGTACTTTTCGTTTACTGAAAAGTTGTAGAATCAAGTAAGAAGCATAAATAGAGCAGCGAGATTTTCACATCGCGAATAAATAATTTGGTTGTAGATTTGGCGCCGTTCAACGACCCGAACAATATATGTACATTTATTCAGCTTTACAACGTATGGAGCGTTTATTATCCGAACAACAACGAAAATGTGGCAGCAGTATTGCTTGTTCAGCAACCAAAAATTCATTTCCTGAAACGTTGTCATTTTTAGGTACTATTTCGAATACGAATTGATACGTTCGGTTTCACGTTAACTTAGTGTTATTTCGCTGCATAGTTGTTTCCTCGTGCATTAATGCTGGCAGATATTGATCGAGACAATTGAACATTGTTACACTTGTAATCAAGAATTGTAGTCCGTTTCAATTCAACGACATTATATGTTAAACATTTGCAGTGTAAAGTTTTGCACAGTTCCAAAACATTGATAACAAATAAAGGCTACCAAATTCGTTCGGTGAGAATGGTTACAGAAATGAGAAGATGGGAAGAAATTGAGAGGGAATAATTATAATGATTGCATTCAGATGATGCATACGACGAGGAGTCATCGGATGAGGAGACTGCCGACAATGATGAGCAGAATGATAACGATTCAAACAAATCATCTTGTCATTTTTTGCACTCAGAATTATGATAATTCGAAGCGAGAATCATATCAGCGATGATGATGGCATCTTCAAAACATCTGCACGACTTCGTTATGTTTACCGGCAAGCAATACCTACAAAGAATCCACAAACTTCAAAACTTGAATGCTCAATGGGAAAAACTTAATGCAGTCGCCTCAAAGCAATGAAATTACGATTTGGATTGAAACTGAGAAGTCCCATTGTTGCTCATTCACTGACGTTTTAAAAATTCACGGTATTGCTTCTCCATATCATTCTTAAAAACAAATTTTCAATCGTTTTCGATATTCAATGATAAAAACGCTGATAACAGAACTCTTCTTCATTCAGCTGTTCTACCGAAGTATTTACCCCATGAAATGTGCAAGTGATTCTCGTAAGAAGTTGCTCTTGCACTACAATGCACGTTTCGTGCGTTCACTCGATCGTTCATTTCTGGAAACAAGGAATCGGTCGTTGTAGTCGATCAACGAGCTGAATGAGTAGTTGATCGCCATGTTCATCAAAATTTAGTATTTCATAAGAAATTGCTTCGAAAAAAGTTTTCTTCTATCTTTTCGCATCTTATAAACGTACACTTGAAAGTTAGCAATGAAACCGAGGGAAGAAGGGAGCAAACAGTGATGGATCGGCATAACACATGAAAGGAGTTTTACCGGATCAGATTTCCATATTGGTGGCACAGCTCAGTAAACGACGTTTCATTTATTAAGTTGTATAAATATAATGTGTGCGTCAAATCGTCACATATGGATGATTATCATTTGTATATATATATATATATATATATATAT